AAAAAAATATTGAAAAGGACATAAAAAAGTAGAAGGACATCCCATGTTCCTAGATTGAAAGAATTAACATAATCAAAATGGCAATTCTACCCAAATTAATCTACGTATTTAACGCAATCCCAATCAAAATCAGATAAATGGATGAAAAAAGTATGGCACATATACTCTATGGAATACTACTCTATAAAACAAGACCCTGGCATTCAATAGAAAGTGGTCAAAAATAGAGGATCTATTGCTGAGTGAAGCAAGCCAGGATATGAAAGATACTGTATGTATCCACCTAATATATACTGACTAAGCACACTTTTTGGTAGAGATCAAAATATTGGAGGGCATAAAAGCAGTGAAAATAGCTATGGATGCTGAAGACAATGTAGAATGGGGTGGGGGAGAAGGGAAGAGTATGGAGAAGGATAGCAAGAGAATAGAGAGGCATGACATTAGTGAAACACAGAAATGGTTTATTACCTGTTGATGATAACATGTATAGTATTCTCAACTGGACTGGTCTGAGAAGTATTTCATGCTGGGGAAATCCTTTGTACAAGCCAAATGATATATAGTGATTGAATGTTTAAAAAAAATGACAATAAATAATAATAATAATAATAATCTGAAAAAAAGATGAAAATCTATTTGATGAGGAGGAGGACAGTAATATCTTTGTCTTGACTGACATGCATGGTAATCATGCTGGGAAAAGAAATGTAATGCCCTGTAAAGATATATGTGATTCAATGTAATATAAAAAAAGACTATGATAATAAATAAAATTAAAAAAAAAAAAAGTCTATTAGGGCCCAGGCCTCTAAATTTTTAAATTTTTCCCTAGGTGCCCAAGTCCTCTCAGTGTGCTGTAACAAAAATATCTTAAATGGTTGGTTTATAAACAACAGTTTATTTCTCACAGCTCCAGAGGCTACAAGGCCCAAGATCAAGGAATCACCAGAATCCATGTCTCGTGAAGACCCACTTACTGGTTCCAAGATGCTCTTTTCCCTGTGTCCGCACATGGTAAAAAGGGCTAGGCTGCTCTCCTAGGTCTCCTTCACAATGGAGCTAATCCCATCATGAGAGCTCTGCCCCGTGATCTAACACTTCCAAAAGCACACCTCCTACTACCATCACCTTGGTGATCGGGTTTCAACATACAGATTTTGGAGAAACACATTCACAGCACACTGTCAGTATAGTATACAGCTGTAGAATACTTTGCCATGTTACAATACAGACAGAATTACATACATAAATGAAGTTAATGATAAGTCCTGTTCTATGGAATATAAAATAACATCACACTATAATCAAAAATTTAAATTTCAAGACAAGTAGGAGGCTTACATTTGTGTGTAAGGGTAATACACTCAGGAAGGAGGACAGGGGCTGAAGAGGCCCTCTGATCAGTCAGGCCTGTAGGCTTTGGGTCCAAGAGCCAGTGCAGGTAAGGATATAGTCCTGGGGCACAGGGTCCCAATAAAGACACTCAGCATTTTAACACTGCCCAGTTTAGAATACAAAATAAGCTAGGCATGCTCACAAGATGCTCCTCTTAAGGAGTTACCACAAATGACAAGTTGTTTTTATAGACTCAAACAATGGCTAATAATTCACTAACAGCAGTGGTTATCCCCTTAGAGTTCACGAACTAAAAGATGGACCTAATAAGCCAACTGCCCATAGGGCCGGAGGCTTCTTGGCAAAGTAGCTGCTCTTCCTTGCATGACCTCACCACCCAAAGGACATTCCCTTCATCTACCAGGTAACAAAAATTTGTGGATATTTTTAAACTGCTAAAGTCTTGCCTGTTAAAAGATGCTAGCATCTCTACCACTCAGTGGTCCAGCATTTCTGGGAGGTACCTGGCACCTTGCATGATTCTGTGGCTGTACAACTTCCTTCTGAGAAACTAGACTCTTCTCCTTTCTAACTAAAGAGCAAACCACAGAGCCCACTTGAAGCATGGCTCCTCTGACATGGCAGATTATAAAACCTACCTGACTACCACACTGTCCTCCACACGGTAGTGACTCACTTCCTTCTGCCTGGGGCTACTGGCCAGTTAGGGCACCTGCTGTCTCCTTGCCACCTGCCACATGAAGCTGTGAACACTTCACGGTTAGGAACTATACAATTTGCCTGGCCCCAGCCCCTGACCTGCAAGTTCAGCAGCTGGCACAGGGCTGGGCATACGCAGGTGCTGGGAAAATATGGGACACATAAACGCACTTACTGGTGAGTGGCAGTGCTGCTAGGAGTGTTTTCTGAGACATCAGGAGCTCTTCCTCTTACACATTTGGGGACAGAGAAAGCATTCCAAAGGTGCTGTGAACTGAATTTGTGCTTCTCCCATTCATATATCAAAGCCTAAATCCCAACGTGATGGTATTTGGAGGTGGGACCTTTGTGACACAACTAGGTTTAGATGAGGTCATGAGGGTGGGGCCCCTATGATGGAATTGGTGCTCTAATCAGAAGAAGACGGATCTTCAACTATGTGAGAAAACTGAGGAGATGGTAGACCTGAATCTGTCAGCCTTAACGAGGAACCTGAACCAGGACTTCCAGTCTCCAGAGCTGTGAGAAACAAATGCCTATTATTTAAGCTAACCAGTTGGGGTACTTTGTTACAACAGTACAAGCTGCCCAGACAAAGGCCAGTCACACACACAGATGGCACTTTTAGCAAAACTCAACTCTGACCCCTGTCAGACAACACAACAAAGCAGTGGGGACCTTCAACTCAGGTGAGATGATAGCTCCTTCCCAGGGGACTTGGTTACTTCCTTCCACCTAAACCACTGCCTGACAGATTTCTTTCTTTCTATGTGTTTATTTTTAATTTTTAAATTTTGCTATAGGGCACATGTGCTTGTTAGAGAAAGATGGAGAGAGAGGGGAAGAGAGAAAGCATCTCCTCCAGGGGGCATAGCCATGCTGTAATCTCTCTATTCTCCTCTTAGGGTTTTGGGCATGTATGCACATGTGCCTGGTGTGTTTGCTAAGCTGCTGGGTCTGGGACTCGGCCATATGGCCCACATAGGATCCAGCAGCCTTAACCACCACACCACTGGCTGGCCCCAAGATTTCTTGAACGAGGACTTTATCTCTTGGTCTCCCATCTGTCTTTATGCATTAAGGTTCTTAACTCGTACCTCCACATTCCCAGCACCCAACCTCAGTGCCCTTATCTAGGATACACACAAATATAAGCCTCTCCAGAGAAAGTGATGCTCCAGGTGGGGCCCCACATCTAAGGGATTTCTAGTGCCAGAGTATAGGCCCCAAGTGTTCACGGTCCCCTCCACACTCTGGTAAGTAAGTAAGTAAACAAAAGATACAAGGGTAAGTTCAGTCGCCATAAATCTGGTGCCTTCCTGGTCCCACTCCCTCCCCGGCTTAGCAGTGGGCTGTGTCTGGGAAATCCAAACGTGATGCATTTACCCACCAGGCTCTCCTGTCATTAGACTTTATGTCCTTCAGAACATAAAATGCCAATAATCTCCATGCTGTCTACCTGATGCATCATGAAGCCAGGTTGTCTGAACACACACCTTGGCCCCTCTTCGTTTCGTGCTGTTATACATTTAAGAGATGTAAACATCTGTCATGAAATAAAAGGTGCTGCAAATCAGGAGCACCTTCATTTTTATAGGACTCATGACCCTAGGAAAGTGCCTTTGCACTTAAAAGTTATAAAAGTGGGACCAGCAGTTAGCGTAATGGCTATGTCGCGGGACTCTCATGTAGTCGACCGCGATTCGAGTCCCGGACCCGGTGGCTTAAAACTCACACCGGGCGCGTGTGTGCGCTTGCCCAAGATCCCAAGAGGAGAATGGAGGAGAAAGAATTGCGGCGTGGCCATCCCCTCCAAGGGGGTGATTTCTCACTTTCTGTCTCTCTGTCTCTGTCTGGCGAGCACACGCGTCCTATCGCAAAAACCTCTTCAAAATAAATGAATAAATAAAATAAATAAAAGTTGTAAAAGTTTGTTTAATAAATAAATGCAAAATTTATACGCGAATGAATGCAAATTTGCCTACACATGCCCCTCACACATGATGTAAACCCTTTTCCAAAGACAGTCTTCCTCCACCAACCTGTGTAGCAGAAGTGACTACAGCTCTGCACTATATGTTATTAATTCTGTAAAGAGAACTCATTTTGCACAGGACTCCCTTAAGTTTTGACCTGAAAAAAATAGGAAAAGATCCTAAGAGACTACCCAATGCAACTCCCTTCCCCCTTCACAGACTAAAAACTCTTGTGCTGAGAGTTAGGAAAAGAGGAAGACAATGACGGCACTGGGTCCTGCGGCCTCTCAGTGCCTCTTCTCTTGGTAGGCTTTTTTGCAAACCTGAGACAGAATATTCCAAATGCATAAGACACACCAGGATCCTAATCCCATCTCCTTGCCACTAGCATAAGTCTGCACAGCACTTCTACTGTAAGTGACAGCAATTACAGTTTCAAGTCTTTCCAACAGGTATTTCTCAACAGCAACGGCTACTTTATATCCCCAAAGAGCCTCCAGCCTGACTTCATTTTGCTGCTTCAAAAGACATGTCAAGTAGCATGCATAAACTCTTCAAATGGCAAGTCTAGGAAGAAGTTCTAACCTCATTCACATTCTACTTTACTATGTGAACTCTAGGACAATGGGGACCTAGAAAATGGATGTGAAAACAGCTCACACGACGATCTCTACCTTTGACAAGCAACTTGTCTCTCACAGAAACCCGTCGAGTGGAGTCTGAGGCTGTGGCTGCTGACCGGGAGCCTTTGAGACCGTCATCTCGCTTCAGCTTGCTTGCCAACGTTAGCATTACTGCTGCCTTGACCCTGGAACACAGGAGTGAAAGTGGGGTTCAGCACCGAGTCCCTAGACAGTGACCAGACACTGAGGAAAATCGACAGGTGAGTTTTGTTTTGATTTTTTTCCTATATTTAGAAAAATTATGCATACATCAATAAGTCTAATTCCTTCATAATGAATTTAAGTAATCTCTATGCTATCCCTCTGTGAGTCTAACTTTAAAGTATGATTTAAAACAGTAAAAAAAGAGAGCTGTACATTTAACACTCACTGGCACTCACTAGGTGTCAGGCTCCAGAGCCCCCATGGAGCACGCAGTCCAGGGGGCCCCAACAGCTTCCACCCAGCATGGCCCCCCAGTGGGTCTCCTGTGGGCCCAGCACTTCGTTGGTATTTTAAACCATCATAACCCAGGTCTCTCACATAGCTTCTTACAGCATCCTCTGCGTATGCCAAAAGACTGCCAGATTTTAGTTTCTATAGTTTATATTACAAAGCAAGGCACTGACTATGATTTGAACTACACTCAGCCTTATCCATATTGACACGCGCGTGCAACCCCCTAAGAAGTACTGGTCGGGCTGGCACTGTTACTTCATGGCTGAGGAAGCTGGAGCCCACACGGCTGACGGAGCAGTTTGAATCCCAGCCCCACTGGCCTGAAAAACACACCTGGCACATGTGTATGTGTGCCCCAAATCCATATAGGATGGAGAAATGAGGGAGGGACTGTGGCATGACCACACCCCTGGGGGGAAGGCTGCCTTCTCCCTTCCTCTCTCTAGTAAGCGCACGCATTCTCTAAAACATGGTAAAAAGGGGGGAAAGCAGTGATGGCACTAGTCTAAAGGCTTCAAAAGACACGTCAAGTAGCATTCATAAACTCTTCAAACGGCAAATCTAGGAAGAAATTCTAACCATATTCAAATTCCATTTTACTATGTGAACTCTAGGAGAATGGAGACCTAGAGGGACCAGCAGTTGGCGTAATGGCTATGTCGCTGGACTCTCATGTAGTCAACCGCGGTTCGAGTCCTGAAGCTGGTGGCTTAAACTCATGTCGGGGACGGGTGCATGCGTGCCTCAGATCCTGAGAGGAGAATGGAGGAGAAGGGATTGCGGCATGGCCATCCTCCCTGTGGGGTGATTTCTTGCTTTCTGTCTGTTTCTCTCTGTCTTTCTGGCAGGCACATGCACTCTATAGCAAAAACCTCTCCAAAAAATAAAAAGAATGGAGACGTAGAAAAATGGGTTTTCCAAGGCCACTCAGATGCTAGAATTCACCATTGGCAAATTAGATACCAAAAGTCCCTTTTAGGGATGATGGAAATGTTTTTTGCCTTTTTTTCTTGTTAAAGAGATTTATGCTATGGGGTATGTACATTTACTAGAGAGACAGAGACAGAAAGCAAGAAATCACCCCACAGGGGATGACATGTCATAATCCCTTCTCCTCCGTTCTGTTAGGATTTTGGGCATGCACACACATGTACCCGGCATGTGTTGGTCAGCCATGTGGAAGCACACCATCTGCTAGTCGCGATGGAAATGTTTTTATCTTGAGTGTGGTTATGGCTTCAGGGTATATACAAATATTAAGACCAATCAATAACACACTTTAAGTATGTGCAGTCTATTGTGCTCCAATTACACCTCAATGAAATGGACAAAAACGTGAACACACACTAACAATGGTTTTTACACAGAGGACTGGTCCACAACACTGACCACTTCTTCCCTTCCAGCTTCAGCCAGGGCTGAGAAATGCTGGTTCAGTTGATGAAGTCACTTCACAAGGGAACAGGGTCAGGAGCACTAGAAGGAGCTCAGCCCACAAGCTATCAGATTGTCAGGAAAGTCGTGACATATTTTTCTATGTCTTTCTATGTGAAAATACGTCATGACTTTCCTCCAATACCAGAGACAACAGCACCATCCAGAGCCAAGCTCTCATGCTGTGGCCCCACCTGAATGCTCCTGCCAGGAATCCCTCCAGCAGATCTCAGGAATCCCTCCAGCAGATCTGGATCATGGAGCTGGAACTGCTCACCAGCTCGCCTGCTGCCAGGGACCTAGGCTGGAGCACACCAGTCCTGCCACAGTGTTGGGCTGCCCAATGATGGGCCAGGTGCGTGTCCATCACATGGGGGTCAGCTGGAAACATTGAAAGCTCCACACAAGGACCACCAAGTTTTACCCTCCGGGACTTCGGTGATGCATACAGGGTAAAAAGTAACAACATAATAGACAGCATGTGTGAAGAGAATCCAGGAGGCAGTACCCTAGAAAGGGCAGAGTGAGGAGCACCATGCACAAGCCAGCGCCAGGACACACACATGGTCCACCCTGGACCAGTTCCGAGGACCTGCCCTGAAGAAGCTGGGCAAGAGGAAGGCGGGGGCTGGCAGGAGCGACTGCTCACAAGGACAGGCTCACCACCAGGGAGCTTCGGCATCACTGCAGCCACGGGCTGTGCCTGGTACTTCCAGCCCTCCAGCCTACCGAGTTCTCCTCTGTGGGCAAAGGATGGCCCACACTCCCTCCACTGAGGCAGATTCCTAGCTTGTCATCTTCAACAAGTGTGCGGTCCTAACAAACACGCTGGACACTGATTACACAAGCTGTAGGAGAAAAAATCACGCTGGTACTGTTTTCCAGACAATAGTGCATTATGTACAGGAACCACCAATTCCTCCATCATCTGTCTCCTGATCACGTGCCACTTCAGGGAGACAGCAAGGGCCGAACTCGGGAATGTGTCCACAGCTGTAAAAGTGACCTATGCAAGGGCTCTGACCAAGGGAACTGCTCCCGCTGCCCAACGGGGAGCTGAACACTTGCAGTGCTTCAGAATTCTCTCTTCCTTCTCCAGTATGCCTGCCTCACAAAGATCTGGCTTAAAACTAAACTTCCTCTTTCCCGTAAATCGCACTCTGACTAAGGCAGCATTTGGTAAGAGATCAGCAGATCTGAAGAGCACGGCTCTGTCTCTGAATTCCACAAGTGGTTAATTGGCCCAGTGAAGTCCCTCCTCTGGGTGGGACCTGCTCTTAGACTGTTCAAAGAGGATTCCTGTGTGCCAGTCCCTACGCTCAGGTCAAGTGCTACTTCCTCAGCCTTCCTGAGTGCAGTGGCAACACCAGGCTGTCACCTGCGCAGGGATACAAGGGCCAGGCAGCTCAAGGTGCGACACTGCTCAAGGATGACTCCACCTGCTGCGGAGAAACCCAGTCCAAGCAGGTCCCACGGGACACAGCCTCCCCCGCCACAGGGCCTCGATGCAGACCCCAGGAAGCC